CAGATTTGTTTGGCTTTTAGGAGTTACCATAAATCCTTTATTAAGCCGCTCCCCCCTCCCCTCTCAAATAAGCCCCCTCCCTCTAATAAGCTCCCCCTTTTTAGGGGAAGAAAGTTAATAAGCCCCCCTCTCTATTAAGTCTCCCCTCCCCACCCCTAATTATTCTTCACTAATAAAATGACAGACTGTATTAATCATTCACAACCGTAAAACTTCATGTGGACTGATCCAGGATGGTTTATTTAGGATGGTTTATTTACCAACGAACACTCCCGCAATCATGAACTATGTACGACAGAGACTCTTAGACATAGAACAGCAAACATGGATTAGTGAAATACACAATGATGAACGAAAGGACCTGCATCAAAAAAGCAAACTAAGAACTTTTAGGAAATTTATACTTACCCATGATTACGAAAATTACCTCACAAATGTAAGAAACATCAATCATAGAGTAGCAATCACAAAGCTAAGATTGAGCAACCACAAACTAGCAATTGAAACTGGACGATACGTTAAACCCTTTCCGACAACCACCAGACCAAAGAATCTGTCCATTATGTAAAACTGGAATAGAAGACGAGGAACATTTTTTGATGATTTGCATAGCCCATAGGTATCCTAGGAGAGAGCTGTTCAATACGCTAAAAAAGGAAACTAATCTTATTCTTGGCTCTATGACTCTAAGCTCTGCCTTTGCAACGTTGATAAGTATGAAGCAAGCAAAGAAAATGCAAAAAATTGTGGCGAAATACGTATATGATCGCTTGCGCGAAAGAGATAGACGCGTTAAATATAACCTTGTTTAATAGTTGTATAAATTTTACAAATGTACACCTCTGTAATTATTGCACGAAAATCTGTATTATCGTTGTAAACACATGTGTCTGTAGGCGCTCTGTTGATAATAAAGCACTTATCCTTATCCTATCCTACCAACTGGAAGTTCTGATTTGATTCTGATCCTCGGCTGCATGACCTAAAACTTCTTGTACTTGAGCTTTTCCACTATGTCTTTGTATTCTAGTTCTTTATGGAGAACTGATACCATCGTTATTTCTAAATTAAATAAGCCCCCCATCTGTGTAAGCCCCCTTTTAAATGGGCTTGAAATAAACAAGCCCCCCCAGGGAAGGGGGGGGGGGGTCTTAATAAAGGTTTTACGGTAAATATTTTTCTCACTTTATGTTGTGAAAAGCATTCCTTTCCCTTCATGTTTGAGTACCCTGGGAGAGTTCTCTTACAACTGTATCAGTTAAATCCCCCCCCCCACGAGCCACCCCAATTCAAAGTTTTAGTATCTCATTGTTCACTTGCCTTCCAGGTACACAAGCAAGTATTATTATTATACTAACAGATGGAAGAGTAGATGACATGAGAAGAGCAACATCTGAGGTAAGTCTGCTCCGGGTGAAGGTGTTAAAAATATTAATACCCTAGGTACTTAGTTAAGTAAAACTGTGGTTCCAGAAAACATTTCTAGTTCAACTATAGAAGATAAGAGTATTTTCTGCCCTCCCCCTCCTTTTCCAAACATACACACATACCCTTTTAGAAATTCCAATTAAGGTACAGACGTTTGTTTTAACTTTTTCATCTTCCTGTCCCTGATCTTGTCCACAAGAAATGTCCAACCCTATCTGTGGTAGTGTGTGGGGTGGAGCATGGGGTATGAAGAATTCTGGAAAATAATACACAGTAGAGCAAGCAAACTTTTCTACATTGTATTTTAGGAACCTGCTCAGTAACTGCAAGGTCAAATTTTTTATTACATGTATGATAATTAATTTTTAAAATGATACTGTCAAGGAAATATGTCGTGGTTCAATTTTATTCTTGGTTTAAGTTTTAGTTTGTTTTCTTTAAAAATCATTATCTTGTATTATCATACCAAAAAAATAAGAAAAAATTTAAACTAAGGATAAAATTGAACCACAACAAATATTATTTAAGGCCATCATACAACTGCCATTGTTGTGTGGGCCTTCAATTTACCTTTGTTTTTATTGTATTTTTTTATTGTGCATTTTAACAGACCAAGAAGGCAAGGCAAGCTGGAGCAGAAGTTTATGCTATTGGAGTTGCAGCATATGTTAGGGATGATGTATGTCAATACAAAATAAGAGGCTAATTTGAGACAACAGGAAAAGAGAGCTTAAAAATCCTTGTAGCTTTTAAGTTGCCATGCTATATTAATTTCACGTACCCAACAACTTGGTATGGAATTTTTTCAGCTTCTCTTACTAAAACTGCATTATAATTTATTCTTCCAACCACTTGACGAAAGTTAACTTTCTTTTCATTTAACAGCTTATTCGATTAGCCAACAAACCATCAGAATACTTTGTTTTCACTGAGCCAAACTACAATCTTTTGAAGAACCTTACAGATGAAGTAAGTAATTTAAGACAAAATGAGTTATTCATTATTTTAGTGCATCTCTCAAGAGGTTTACAGTTTCATCAAAGTCCATTGAACTTATTGCATGAATTTAAAGCAGTCTAAAATCACATATAGCTTATTCAATAAAGGTTGCTTTGGGCATTGAGAATTGCGTACTGGGAAGCTACTGTTTAGTGGTAACTCAAGCAAATCATTACAGTGGATTTTATATGCCCAAATGCCTTAAATGACCCAGTGTCTAAATGCCAATTCCCGATACCCAAAGCAACTTTTATTGAGTACAGTAATTGAACCTCCTGTAAACAATCACCCAAAATGCAAAGACTTAGTGGTTGCTTATGGGAGGTGGTCACTTACAAGAATCAAACCACAGGCGGGCATCTTCTGGGAAGAGGTCTGGGCACATCTACTCTATGGAAGACAATTTATTGCATGCAAGTTATGCAATGTGTAGTTCCATGTTGTTACTAAAGTTCTTTGCATATTTTAAGTAGCATACTGAACACATTGAACAAAGAGATCAGAGAATGTGTCAAAGTGGTCGCATACGTGTACGAGAGGTTAAAAACAGTGGAAAATCATTAAACTTTCAGGCCCAAAAAGTGGTTGTGGTCGCTCACAGGAGGTGATCATTTACTAGAGGTTACAACTGTAAAGTTTTGACTGGAAAAGTTTTGGTGTTTTGGATATAGGGAGTTACGTATGGGAGGTGGCTGTTTACAAAAGGTGGGCGTATATGAAGGTTCGACAGTAATTACAAGCTATAAATTGGCAATACAGGCAAAGCTGCCTTCAAGAAACAGCTTTTGGTAGAGCGCCCCTTTGGGAGGTAAGGGGGATTCCCTATAATGGCCTTTATGGGAGGGGTGGGGAGACTCTGCCTGTTAGTGGTGCGTTTTTTCAGGTTTCAGTTACAATGTGTATGAAAAGGGTATGAAGATCTGTCATTTTGGTCTGTTAAGGTCTTTAAAAGGGCTAACTGACGCATTTTATGGCTGGTAAAAAGATGAGAAAACGCTCTGGTTTTGTTATCTATTCATATTTAAAGGGCAGTGCATTTTTAGCAGTTAAAAGGATGCAAATCCCTTAACTGGGTATGTGGAAGGGGTATTATAAATTTGTCAATGGACGGTATAAAGGGGTACGTTTTCTGTCAAAAATAGCTTTCAAAAGGGTAAGTGGTTGGACCTCGGGGCGGGGCCTCCCCGTATAAAACAGTGTTGAGTAACCCCACCGGGAGAGTACCATCCTGCAGCCTTTTTTTTTAATTTCTGTCCGTTCTTTCTTATTTGCAGATTTCTACTAAGTCTTGTGTGGAGCTGACTTCAGTGGATCCCCAGCAAGCTTGTTTAGGAGGTAATGCGTTATTCTGCAGCTATTGTTATGGGTCATTTGTATTAAAAGTAATGTTGATGTACGTTAGTTTGTCATGTACCTTAGTGACTTCAAGTTTCTTTTCTTTCTTGTACACTGTAGAAAATTCCACGGTGACTTTGTACGGGCGTGGATTTGTAAAGTTCAATGTAGCTGTTTGGTGTGGCTTCAGTTACAATAATACTTACCGTCTAGGTAAGTAATTGGCCAAAATAAAAATAAATACTTATTTACGGCATTTATAGAGTTTCACCGGGTATTTTATCACACAGCTTATTACAAACCTTGAAATAAATTGCTGTACTATGAACACGTTGACTTGATTTAGTATAGAAAATTCCAAAACTCAGGGCAAAGTTACGAATATTTCGACCGAATCACTTGGACTTCATAAGCGCTGTGAAGTGACATGCTGCGTAACAGAAAAGTAACGAATGCCCAAGAGAGGATTGTAAATTTTGGTGGTAGGTCAAGGCCCTCATAACTATTCAGGGAGGGTTTCCTTTGTTTAATAGCAATTAGAAGCTTAAGCAGTAACGACGGCGACGGTTACAAAAAAGTCACTTAAAAGTAAATGAATCGCGCTGCTTCAAACTTTACCGCGCTTATTCCATCTCGTTCAATTCGCCGAATGATGGCGATTTTTTCTGGAGTTGAATTATAAAAGACTGTATGAAAGTCAAGGAAAAGAAAAAGAGGTTATCCCTTTTTACAGATAACCCACCCAGCCCAGGAAAGGTTGGACACAGCACCGTACCCTAGCTTTTCGAAGAGTGTTGTGAGCATAAGTGAAAGTGCTGTGAGACGGGACCTACAGTTTTTCGTCGTTATCCGAGAAGACTAGAGAGTCTAATCGTTTGCAGATAAGATTGAAAAGGCAGAATTTTTTCTCAGTTATTTAAAGACACTGAGTGATGGTCTGGCCGGTGTTTGAAACCGTGACATTCTGCTCAGCAGACCGGCGCTCTCCCAACTGAGCTAACCAGGCGGCGATAAAGGACATCGCTACATTCTGGAAGAGAATAGCCGTTTGTTCTTTTGTCGCACAGCCTTGAGATTGTAAACACTACCTTATATTTCTCTTCTTTCTTATTAATAGCAACAAGAGCTATCGCCATTGGAGACCGCCAGCTTATTTGCCCTGTTCCACCTATGAAGGACGCAAACAGGTGGATATGTCTTTGATTAACCTACGCCATTTTTCGGGAAGTTTTAGAAGAGTTTTATTTTACCCAACCTTTTTTCGGCGTCCCAAACATTTGGGACTTGGGGGGTTGGGGGGTGATAGGTGAAAGTATTTCAATTGCAGTATGAGGCTACTTGTATTCTACACAATTCAAAACTAACAACTAAGGATGCGTAGAATGCTCATTAAAAAGTAATGATGAACAAAATTTCCGTGTTGTATTTGGAGTTTCTTTCCAAGCGTTTCGGGCTTGGCTCTTCATCAGTGGTGTTACAAGTACGTTAGAAACGTTGCAAAGTCTTCATATGCAATAAAAAATAATAACAAGTAAACTTTGCAGTGCTTGCACGGCTCTGCAAACGTACTTGTAACTCCAGTCTCGAAACTTTTGGAAAGAAACTCGAACTACAACGCGGCTCTTTTGTTCATCACCGCTGTTTTATGGAACATTCTCTTACATACTTCCTATTTAAGTGCTACGAATTTTGTTTTTCGTTATTTGTTCAGCCAATGATACATCCTGTTTTATTGCATATCATTTTTTTTTTCTTTCGCCGTCAGTTCCTTGATGTTGCAGGTTTCATTGAATAACGGAACAACGTTCGTTTCTAGTAACGTGAACATTACAACTAAAAATTGCCCAAAACCGGAAAATAATGGAACAACGTTCGTTTCTTGTGACGGGAACGTTACAACTAAAAATTGCACACAACCAGTAAAGCCGAATGAGGAAAAAGAAAAGGAAACAGAGCCGACAAAGGTATGCTACATTGTAGTGTTTACGTAGGATTTGATTTTAGGCTACTTACTGCAACTGGTGACATGTAATGTGTTCTGGTTAAGCTTTAGATATCTAGATAGCACTTATTGAATTGGCTGTCTTAATAAACCACTAAAAAAAAGAAAGAAAAATACTCAGCGATTTACGTTTTGCGCCTACTGTAAACTGCCGCTTGTAAGCTTCCACGTGACTTAAAACTCGCTTCCCCCCCCCCCCCAGTTATAGGCCGATCTAGCTGCACGCAAAAAAAAAAAATGTTGAAACCCCAATATAACGATCCTCGTTATAACGATATTCCCGATATAACGGGCATTAAAAGAAAAATAAAAAAAAAAAATAGTAAAAAAAGCTGATCATACCAAAACGTCTTTCAACAAAAAGTATTAATTATTCAGAAACAAAGCAAAGATATCCAAAACAGCAAAGTCTCCCTCGCCAAATATCGTTCGAACAAACGACCCATTTCTAGTGAGATAGAGCGCGTATCACATCCTGGTTAGTCAATGTCCTGTGACATCACCATCAGAGCTCCTCTTAATGTTAATATGATTAAGCTTTTTTAAAGCACATTTTTTGCTCCTTTTTTTCTAGACTGAAAAGAAAACTAATATTGGGTTAGTCGTGGCGCTGTTGTTCTTATTGGCATTTTTGTTGTTGCTTGCCTTGTGGTGGTTTTGGCCGCGTATCAGGAGGAAGGTGAGCCTGCCTGCAGTGTGTAATTTGTGTACTAAAACTGACAGGCGTGCAGTCGTGATAAGAGCTAAAGAAAATTACTGATTTTTCTCGAGAATCTTTTCCTTAGCGAGTGAATTTCTTTTTGTAAAATCTTTAGAAATAAACATTGCTACGAAGAGTCCAGCCAAAAAGGTCTCATTTGAATGGTAACACAATAGGATTTCATCAACAGATTGATTTAAAAGTTAGACTGGAAAGACTGGGAGCTACTGTGAATTCATATGAAATTATGGTCACACCATGGGATTTCTAGCCTGCGAAAACATCCGTTTCTCCTCGCTCTTCGCCGCTGGGGACGTTTCGCGCGGAGGAACGACGTTCCTCCGCGCGCAACGTCCCCAGCGGAGAAGAGCGTGGAGAAACGGATGTTTTCGCAGGCTATGGGATCTCGGCCACAGAGTCAAAAGTTAGAACCATCTTACAAGATTCCATCAGCCATTCTGGATACAAGACAGAAATACTGATCAAGCGTTTAAAATCCCAGAAGCTTGGAAAGCGGTAAAAAATATCGTCATCTGAATGGTTATTCATGTTTTCTACTTTAGCGTTGCGTTCAATGAGAGGGGTTGGTATGTCCCTAAGGCTGAATTTCAAAACCTGTCGTTTCGTGTATTGAGGAGAAAGCCGTGTCGCTGTTGATATTTCACTATTTTATTTGAGCGCTTCTCTGTCTCTGTCGCAGTTTTAAAGCGCCGTAGCTAGTATGAGGCCAACCGAGGCACTCGCCTCGGTAAAATTTTGACGAATTTCGCCGATCATTTTTATTTTACATAAGCGATCATCGGATATTTTTAACGCATCATGATATTACAAAGAATTCACCAATTCAGTCAATATACTATGAAATAATTACCATATCATCGATCTCAAGGGGCTACGTACGTTAACTCAAATTTTTTTTGAACAAATACTGATCAAAACCATTGGCGAGGTTAACGGTCACCCAGATTATGTAGCTTGTTTCTGATTATTGCTTTTTAAATTCCACTTAAGGTGGCTCCCTAGAGTATTTACTAATAACCCTAGCTGTCTAGCATACGTTACAGAACGAAACCTAGTCACTTTGTCGTTACGAATTTGTTCACGAGATTCACCGCTAAGGTTACCCATATAAGAAGGTTCCTTTATCAAGTTTCATTTTCTGGATTAAGACCGTTGCCATGGCAACATCGCATCCTTAGCCAGGCAGTAATTTTGTCATTTTTGATCATTTTTTCTTAATATTTTTTATTTTCCTCGGTGAAATGTCTTTAAACTTTGCCACTTTATATTAACGATATTGCTTAACATTTTAAAGTGGAAAAAACATGGGGTCGCTAAGACGGTTTTGCCAATATTTTGAAATTTGTAATTTTTCTTAATGGAGGAATTTAGCTCTTACAGATTTTAACAAAAATAGGACAGTACAAAGGTACTGCAACTGTTAAGAAATGAGGCGATTTTTAAAAAAATTTACCGAAGGAAACGCGAGAAATTCACGGTTAATTAACTACGTTGACGTCACAAAAATCCGAAAAACACGCGTGGTTCGGGGTCGTATGAGCAAAATACGCGCGCGAGCCATCACCCCGCATGCGCATAATGCACAAAGCTACTGAAAACACGCGGTTTCTTTGAAGAGTACGAAAGCCATTGTTTTGAAGCCGTTTATTAGTGTTATTACGGTGATATTTCGCCAGTTGAAAAAGGAGAGATAGCGGATTCAATTTTGTAGCTAACACAGGATGTTTTCTTCGAAGTACTTGACTATTGTAGCTAAAATTCGAACCGTGGTGGTCACTCGTGAGGATGGCGATCGTCGGCGATGAATACGGTGGTTGTGCAAGGATCGCAATAAGCCCTTCATTTCCTAATCTGCTGTACACTGTTTGCAGATCTTCAAATGTCAGCCCACTTCCGGATACTTTTTCAACCTTGTTCTTCTTTAGGGATAATTTGGACGGCGAAGTCTTTCTTTAAAAGTCTGCTGTAAATTATAAAAGATGGTGCCGATATCTCTAAATCCTACATCATGTCCTCAGCTACATGTACAAGACCGTAGGTCTCGGCAGACAACTGTTGCTCTCGTCAAGGGTCAATCTGTGAGTAAAAATTATTTCTCGTTGTGCAAAAACATTGTCCATTTACTTCGACTATTTAACGTTTGTCTACTTTTGAAGTGAAAGAATTGATGTCTTTGAAAATTTCTGCTTTTAATTTGTTTTTACATACAATTTACTCTTTTGGAGATCGATAGTGACTTGTAACCGGTGTAATATTGTCTCCTCTCATAAATGTTTGACCTACACTAATCAAACTTTTTGCACAATGAGCTTCAATAGAAAGTTAATAAAGTTTTTGGGGGAACATTTCGAAACTGAGAGGCCATGTTTGTTTTAATATTTGCGTGGACGTCGCGCAGATTTTAAAGCTCGCGCCATACTAGTGCTCAGGCTGCGCACGGCCAATTTACTCTAGGGAGCCACCTTAAATTAACTCGAAAAAAAGTTACCGAAAGGCCCAGAAAACGCTGCAAATCGCATTTCCGAGAGACTAAAGTTCAAGATTTCTCGGGGGCATGCCCCCGAACCCCCCTAGCAACTCCCGCCTGCCTCGGTTGGCCGTTTGGTCTGGCTACGGCACTGTTAACCCGTCTTTGTGTCGTTTGTTGCCATTTTTAATGCCCTATGTTGCTGTTTCAAGACAATGTCACTTGTCGAAGGATACCCTTATAAGGCCTCTTCAATTGCGGACGGATCTTTTGTGTACGCCACAATTTTTGTGTTTTTCAGCCACCACCACGTAATTACCAACCAGCGGCTACAACGGAAATGAAAGCAAAACCACCCGCTCGTCCCCCGCCTCCTCCGCCTAGGCCAGTGGAGAAAACGGTTAGTTACAAGACGGTCATAGACCGGCTGAACAATATTGTTCGGTCGGTAGGTTAAGTTTCAGTTTCTTGAAGAAGTCCAAGACATCGACATATTTTTATTCAATGGAATCGTTGTCCCAAAAAAGCGTCGCAGTTTTAATTTATTGTTTGTTTACCAGAATTTGTAGACGTTTGATTTGGGTAGATTTTGATTGGAAATATGGCTATGGTTATTACTAGCATGTTGGGAAGAAAAACAACAACAACAACAACTATTTTGATTGGAAATATGGCTATGGTTATTACTAGCATGTTGGGAAGAAAAACAACAACAACAACAACTATTTTAATTGGAAATATGGCTATGGTTATTACTAGCATGTTGGGAAGAAAAACAACAACAACAACAACTATTTTAATTGGAAATATGGCTATGGTTATTACTAGCATGTTGGGAAGAAAAACAACAACAACAACAACTATTTTAATTGGAAATATGGCTATGGTTATTACTAGCATGTTGGGAAGAAAAACAACAACAACAACAACTATTTTGATTGGAAATATGGCTATGGTTATTACTAGCATGTTGGGAAGAAAAACAACAACAACAAGAACTATTTTGATTGGAAATATGGCTATGGTTATTACTAGCATGTTGGGAAGAAAAACAACAACAACAACAACTAACACTTTCGTGTGACGTTGCATATTTCATATATGCTATATGCTAATCATCAGCCAAAATTTTTTTTACAGTTTATCAATTTATCAATATTTATTATTTGGAACTTGAAAATGGCGCCAAGATGACACCGAACGAAACGTCGTTCGTTCTTATCTGCGTTATTTTTTACTTGTTTCTGAACAAAAAAACATTTAAGCGGAAGGTTGTTAAAATCTCCTCGTGGTGTGTCGTTTTGTTGTTTGTCATTTGCGTATTTCTTGTATTCTTCTACAGGCGTCTGGTAGAGTAAAATGGCCGACTGTTGACGCTTCCTACTATGGGGGTGGAGGAGCTGGTGGAATTGTTCCAGTCAGAGTAAGTATTAGAGTGTCTAGGGAGATTATCAGCATGTCTTTGGCGCGGGTAGCGTTTTTCCCCAAGGCATGAGGAAGAGGCCTTGATGTCGTGCTTAATGGGCAGTCATCTTTGTTTCAGATGTACCGAGGGAGGGGCGGGGGGAGTCGTTGGGGTGTACATTTGAAACAAAAACTGCCGCCGATTATAGTAACTGCTGGATCACGACGAGCCTACAGGAAGTAGGAGACAGTCTAGTAATACTTAAACAAAGTTTTATAAACCAAGCAGTTTCCGTTCAAAATTGTAGGTAGATTGGGGAGACAAAGGTTCAACTGAGGCAGGAGCGAGGCTGGCAAAGGCTAAGGTAAACTATTCTTTTTTAATTGTACATGATAAATAACCGCTATGTACTAGAATTTTCCTCCACTTTCCGTACTGATATCTTACAGCCTCCAATGGCAGATAGGAATTTGCTCCTGGTGAAAGATGAACTATGTCCAATCGCATCATTTCTAAACTGGGTCCGACTAAGGTGTCAGCTTGCCCTTATTTTTAAATATAAAAAGGATGTATGCACATTTCCTCAACGAGATTCAACCTGCTGGAACCTCTGTAACAAAATGGGCTCATCTTATAGTGCAATATGGCACGTTTTTGCGAAGACAAAATCGTGTTATCAAGGAATTTACCCACTAAGGTTAATGGTTTCCCGCCCTTTCCCCACGTTCACGGCGTCTTTTGCGCGGGAAAAAAAATAATAGCTACATCAGCAATTGACTATTTTATTGTGGGTCCCCAAAAAACGGAGTAGGAGATAAACATCTCGATTGCTACTATGGTCGCTTTATCTAGTTTCCATACTTATGAATCTCCCACGGGTAGTTTATCGCGGTTAGAAGCAATGACAGCAGTTTTATGTTACCCGAGGTGAGTGCTTTATTCGGGGGACTTACATGTAGATGCGTACTTAATATCACCAAAACTGTTGTTTTTATACACCTAATTCAAGAAAGGTTGCTTTGGTAATTTGTCATTTGGGCATACGGAACTCACTTCAATGATTTGCTTGAGTGTCCTCCAAACAATAACTTTCCATGGCCCAATTCGCCAGTGCCTGAAGCAACCTTTATTGAATCAGGTATACATAACTCTTATTTTGTTTGTATTTGTAGCCAAGATTGATAAACGATACTGACGATAATGAAGCCTTAGTAAGTTCACCTTCCAAGAGATCTAGATCACCGACACCAGGATGTTGGACGGCCGCTAAGGTAAAAGGCCTAAGTCTGTTCACTCCATATTTCCTCTAACATCTTGACTGAGAATTATATTGACATGCTGGAGCATTGCCAGCTGATTGCTCCCTTAACAAGGGGAAGGATGGGGGAGGGGGTGGTGGGGAGCAAGGGTGGCGCAGAGGTGAGAGCACTCGTCTGCCATATGTGGCCAGGGCTCGAAAAGTCCCGTCCCGTCTTGTGGGGTTAAGTGACCTTTAAAGCTCCTTGCCCATGGGCAATTGTCCAAACCAGTCATCTTCTAACGAAATCATTATCCAAGAGGACCAAAAAGTGGCCTTGGACAAGGAAAATGTGAGAGCTACTTGCCCAAAGAACAAGCCGGAGTTCTAGGTTTTTTGTCGAGCCCTGTGTGGTTTGTGTTTGTTGTTGTTTCTCTCTTCTACCTCAAGAGATTTTTGTCAGGTAGTCTTCTTTTTGTAGCTCCCAAAAAAGGGCAGACCTGCACCTATTCCAAACAAGGTTTGTAATTGGCTGGGAAAACGAGAGGGATGGTGATGTAACAATGCCCCAATCCCTGAAACGATAGGTAGTGCAGGTTATAGGGAGTAATAAAATAAGAGGTTTGGAAGGGTGCTGGTCAATCGAAAGAAAAAAAAACAGTACTTCGAAATTCCAATTCGATCTGGAACGCACGTGTACTATCAAGCGAGTTCTTGCGAACTAAGTGTTTCTTGGATAGAAAGAAATTTACAATTTACAATCTTTTGTTTTACAATTTCCTTTTTCTTAGGTATATAACTTTACGTTGCACCGATTGTTGATTACATGATATATAAGCAAGCAAACATTTCCTTGAGATTTTTTCTTTTCTTTTTGGTTTCCGAGATCCAGGAAGAATAAATACGTGCAATCTTGCGGCAGAAATGAGCCCCTAAAGCCAGTTTCACGTCCTGGCCTCACAACAGGGGAAAAAGGAGGCTTTCGTTTTGTTTTAAATGTGATTGATCGAAGTTTCGTCCGCCTCATTTTCCCTTTCTTGCGTTCATGATAAAGACACGATGCGCATAGCGGAAAATTCCAAAAATGAAATGACATTTCGTGGCGCGAATAATCATTAACTTGGATGAATGCATTTGTTTCTAGATCAAAGTTCTTGCTGGAGTGGATGCTATGTCAGAAGGTTATAGGAAAGTGGCTTCACACCGGCCTCGTCCAGGAGGAAACGTACGTTTTTCTTTTCTTTTCTTTCTTTGATTAAAAAAAAATAATAATGAAAATAAATCAACAAGTCATGCCTACTGTGCCTTGTTTCACCTTGACCCGTACTAGTTACCTGTTTAACCGGGTGTTATGATAGACACACCCTCTAAATCAAAGCGCGGTGTAAACTGCAAAACTTTTGTAACGACCGCTCGAACTTTTACCCAGCGTCTTGCGTTGAGCGTTATAGGTGCAAATGCACGATTGTAATTAACTCTGGAAATCTAAATGCAAATAATTCATATGTAAGTTCTAAAAACTACCATCCGCTTCCTCAGCGCTTTCTCAAGTTGTAAACGTACTGTTAAGTGAAAAATATCCTCAGGGACAAAATCTTCTAACCAGCACTTAGCGGGTTCCTCTTCTCCTAATCGTAGAATGAACTTCTTCGACACAGTCGTCTTGTTCTTTCGATTGCTCAAGCCACTTTGCCTGCGATTACTTAGTCCTCTTGTAAACTTTGATCTAAACTCATCGTTCGAGAATAGCTCATTGGCGCTGACCAAACTGTCCACGGGCCCTCCGAGGTAGCGCTCGTCACTAGCCCCCCTCGCTGTAGCGAGAAAAAGTTTGCGACGACGAATACCTGCGAGTCACTGGGAATGAGACTCATTAACGCTGACGTAAGCATTTGACAATGGTAGACTCTCAGATATCGCAACGAAGGGCAGTTTGTTATGAATCTTCCGAGGGCGCTGTTTGTTACTTCACTGCTATAGCTGAGATCCAATACTTCTAAAAAAGAGCAGGGGTTTTGAGTCATCGCATTCAGGACATCGTCTGTGATTGCGTGACCATACCTGTTTGGAATAGAGTAGCTGTTGTTGTTACAGTTGTCTCTGGCCAATCACTTTTTTTGTTTTTCAAGGCCTACCAAAAAGGTCATTTTCAGTGTAAACGCAGTTAGCGGTGCAGAATGCTTTAGGATTCTAGTCGTACTCGAGACTTCAAAACTGTTAAAATACCGCAAAATTCCGAAAATAAGCCCCGGGGCTTATATTTTTCGAAGGCCCTCTTCGAGGGACTTATTTTTGGAGGGGCTTATATTCGGAGGGGCTTATCTACGGAGGGAAATTTGCGTTTTAAAATCGATTGGGCTAGCCTTATATTTGGAAGTAAATTTACCGTTTTTGCTTTGTTTTACTTTGTATTTAAGGGCAATTTTTCAAGTACAATCCCCCGGGGACTTATATTTGGAGGGGCGATTTAATGGAGGGTTTTTTGCGTTACCGGTTTGGGGGGCTTATATTTGGAAGGGCTTATACATGAAGGGACTTATTTTCGGAATTTTACGGTAAACAATACCATCGTCGAAGGTTCATGTTGCAGAGGGCCCATACAGAGACCTTGAAGCATATTTTGCATTGTTGGGGCCAGCTTACGCTACGCGCAAGCTCAACGACTACCTAAAGGCGCTATAGCTTATTCAGGAGGATCCCCCGTTTGGCCATAGCCCAGCCAGCCCCATAGCTTCGTGGACCCTGCCATAAGAGTCTTCGCAACTCTCCGTCACAAGTATGCCTTTGTGCCACTCTCCCTCTCAAAGGATTGTAACCCACCAGGGCCAGAGGCTACAGCGCGTTGTCCACAATTACATGCCAGTACAGTTCAATGCAGTTGTAGCTTCATGGTTTTGATGATCTAGAGGTGGCATAAATTAAACCATTACTAGATTAGTTACTTGGTTGTACCCCCAACCTACCCACAACAGCAGAGTCGCAGATAACGGAGAAACCGACAGCGTCGTAACATGAATTTTAAACCGTGTTCAGTCAGGTGTCTGCACCAAGATAAGTCTACTTCTGAAATTACCGACTTCTCCCAGCGAACGGACGTAACAGCGTTGTCCGAAACATTCGTGCCATCGAGCACCAGTGACGTCAGTGATGAGCAGTTATCGATTAGCTTCGGAAGGCTCTCACCCTGAATGTTGTTGCATCTTCGGAGACAGAGTGATTTAAGATTCCTGTGAATAAGATTTTTCAAGATTCGTATTAAACAATGCCTGTCTTGCAATGACCTCTCCTATTACATAGGCCTAAGATTGCGCAAATTTAGCAAGTTTTCACGCTTAGACCTAGTTTTCAGATTACTTATAACACAGCAGCAGAGCGAAAGGAAATAGCTTCTCGCTGTTAATTAACGTTGCATCTCGTTTTCGTTTGATTGACTTAAACATCCCGCCTTCAGTTAATTCTTAATGGCAGTCAAATCTCTGTTCCCAACCAAAATCTTGGGTAGTGATGGGGAAAATGTTCTCGTTCATCCCAAATTCTTTACCTGCAGTATTCTGCGATGTAACGCACCATTTGATCTGTGAGTGAAGAACAGTAACTGAACTCAAGTATTCTCACAGCTTGTAGCGAGACAAAAACCCGTCGTTTTTCCACTTCCAACTCTAGGCTGTCAAATAATGGATCACTAACCCCAAGGCACTTTACTGTTTGTAGACGTTGGGACATGACTTTAAAGGCACATGGGTGTCCAGAGCTGTGGCGTATATCCAATTTTGAAAGGTTGTCCGGGAACGATGTCTCCTAGAACAAATACAAATAGCTTACAAATTGTTTTGTCCTAACTCTCTTGTAATCATTTGTGCTGATCCAATACATGAGCCAGAAATTAACAGCAAATAAAGCGCGTCACTCGCCTGCTGTGCGGGAGATTGCGTGGTGAAAGCCAGGCGACAATCAACCACGATCGCTGTTGTTGTTTTCTTTTTAAGAGAAATACTTGTAAGATATTTCTCGCTTTGATATTTGTAAATGTCGCTGTAAACAGTTGCTATTTATAGAACCCAGCTGAGGCAAACAAATTATAATTAACATTAGCGAATTCCTCACTTTTGTCATTGAAATGAAATATCATCCTTACATGTCAGGTAGGAGGGGAAATAAAAGGACTCCTGACGTTGTTCCAAAAGTGAGGGGATTGAAAACCCTGGTGTCATGGTTTATCTCACTTGTGCCGTGACTGGTCTGGGTGGGCGAGGTGGGAACAAACAAGTGCTGAAGCGACACCAAAGTGCATCTTTTTTGTGCTGTCACGTCCGATATTACCTCTTTGGTAAAAGCGCACTTGAGCTATCGAAGCCTGCACGGTGGGAAGCTTATCTCGGTTTCAGTAGCATGAAAGACCAAGGTGTATTGGTATATTGCTGCATTGCTGCCCCCCTCCCCCACCCCTCCTTTCCCCTCCCTAATAGGGTTACCCCCAGCAGTGTGGTGTGTCGCCGGTACCCATACATGCACCTGTTCCGAGTGAAAAGAGTCAAAGTTCTTGTCTAAGGAAACAACGCAAGAACAAGACATGAATCCGGACCTATACACATCCTAAGTTCGAGTTGTCAACCTCTTATCCGCCGCGTTGTTTCCTCCGTCATTCAACCACTCGTTACGAGGAAAAAATTGGCACGGTCTTCTTTTCTTTTTCATTTTTCTTTCTTTTTGGTGTTTCTACCCCTTACTACTCACCTTGCCCGTGAAGTCTTCAACAAATGTTGTGGACTCTAAACAGAGCACTCTTAGTTTAGGGCAATTCTCCACTAGAACGTGAAAAACCCTTGGCGACAACGTAAACCCTCCAAGGTTAAGCTTGTATAGCATTGGCACCATCCGAGAGCGAATTACCTTGATAAGGCACGTTTCATTGAGTTTGTGAAACCGTTTAAGATTCACTGACTTCCACAGTGAACTGTCATACGCGATCAACCTCCATCTTCGGCAGACCTGGGCAATGTGGCACAAGTCTGTCTCGCTGAGACATCGAAAAATTAATAGCAAAATAGTGTCGGGGAACTCTTGGATATGCATTTTTTAAGAGGAAGTAAAAGGATAAAATCCGACAGTCGCCATGTCTGTGCGTATTAGAACGCGCGCAATCATTTGTTACGTCAGTTAATTGATTATGCATCGGATCAACCATCTTGACAACGGAGCTCGATACAGGTTCGTCGAGCTCCACATGTCCACCGAGCTCGATCAACAATCTACCCCGGGAAACCGTGCTCGATTTGTTGTAACTAGTATGATCCTAACCGCGCTGGAATCTACTCGTACTCGGTCTCCATAGGCCGTGCTGGACTAGTAATCGACATCGTCCTAACTGAATCGAGCACGACAAGAATCGAGCTCTCGTTTACTCTTTCTTTCTTTTAACTTTTAGTTCTTTTGTATATTTACATTGTGAACGAGTTTTCTTCGTAAAACGGAAAAACACCAAACAAAAGTTGTCAGTTTTCGTTGAATGCTGTTTATTGCTGTTTCTACTTAGTTGACGCTACATGTACATCTTAGAAAAACTCTTTTTAATCGTCCGTCGTCGTCTGCTACTGTTTATAAATATACCTTGCATACAGCTTTGACTTTTCTAAACAAGTGTTCTTAAAATACCCGCCCATCGCTTGCTCCGAATCGGCAGCTTCATTAATCAATCTTGTTTGTTTTGTTTCAGTGGCTGTATTCTTCAGATCCTGAAGTTTGATTCCCCTGTTTTGCGTCAGGAACAGACAAACAATGACTTTTAATTTTTGTACTGCAATTTTGTAAAGCAATTCTGAGGTGGTTTCGCAAAGTTCGATAAAGTGATGGACAAAACTAAAGAATAGGTATACTTTCTCTTTAGTTCCTGCATATTCCCTTACTTTGACTTGCGCTGTTATAGTTCTCGCCGTTCAACAAGATATCCCTATTTATAACAGTATTTTTTTACTTGATACAAACTGGCTTTTTTTTAATGAATACATACATAAATTAATAAATACACAAATAAATAAGCCTTTAGTAAACGAGAACGAGAATTGACGAGTTTAGTTTCAGTGTACGTTTAGGAATAGGTTAGTGTGGTACTAAGTCATCAAATTATTGCAAGTTGCAATGTCTGTATAATACATGTTTTTAGTAAATATGACGAGAATGGCATCAGCAACAAACTTTGTATCGTATTTTACCCCTATTCTCTGGTTTAACAAGCCTTTCAAGGAACTAAACTTTAAATCTTTCCATTATGGGATTTTTTATGCATGTCTGTTTTGTTGTCAAGAGGTACTTAATAGCCCTGCGAATTAGATCAAAGACAGTTCGCTCGGCCATATGTTTTTGTTTTGTTTCGTTTTTGTTTTTCATCGGTGTTATTGCTCTTTCAGCTTGCTAATTATTTACTGAATAGCTGAAGTAGGCGAACCGTCATGAGTTTCCTCAACCCCACCCCCACCACACCCCCAAATCTCCCCTCACCACCGTCACAAAGGTTTTCGTGACGTTCCATAATTCTCTCATATGTCATTTTGAAACCAGCGCGTTCGTTAGGCTAAAGTCGGCTATCTTTTGGGAAGACATCATCAAGTCTAACAAAGGAACAAGACAATCACGCTGTTAAAGTCTGCCTCGTCCAATATCTTATTGTATTTCGTCTCATTTTGCTATATACCTAGCTGAAACACTCAGGCTCGAGACGGAAGGGTTATCGATATTGTGAGCTTTTTTCTTGGCGGTAACAAGTCTTTGGCCTCGGAAAAATGCATACAGTCAACTCCTTTTATTGCGGACACAGGAGGGACCTCGAGGTAGTGTCCTCATAAGCGAGAGTCTGTAATAGCGGGACTTTATTTCTGTCAAACGTCTGCAATTTGTTTTCGCCAGGGATTTAGCTGCTGCCCGTTTTATCGAAGTGTACGTTATAGCCGGGTGTCCGCAAGGCAAGAGTTGACTGTAGTCGGCCAGAGCCAACTCGATGACAAAGCGAAGCACTTAGTTTAAGCCATTCGTCCAAGGGAATTTTGCCGAATAACGCGATTTGAAGCTAGTCGAAATGTTTTCTGGTCACTCTCTGGTTATAAAGAGCTAAAACTTACCACAAAGCTGTTTACAGGTCGTACACCTCGCTTCACCGGCGAAAAATGTCTAATTGGTCGACGCGCGATCACGTGACTTTGCCAAATTCAAAATGGCGGCAATACCTCCATCGTTTGTAAGAAGATTAATTGCAGCTTAATATGGGTTGCAAATGCATATACGGATATTTTTAGAATAGCCTAGACTTTTTATGATCCTTTTTCACCTATTCCTATGGGATCCGTTCCCTTAGACACCTGGAAGTTATTTTATATATATATATTTTTTTTTTACCGAAAAGATAAAGCAAACTTATGTTTTCTCCAGCAAGACTTTCTAATTTATAAAAAAAAGGCTTGAACATAAGCTAAATGAACTGTAGTGTCTGCCTTGTTCTTTTCATTGTGAACGGATGCAATTTTAATACCAAAACTTTAAAGCCGTCTTTGACCGAGCAAGGTTTTTTTTCTTTTTTCTTTTCAATGGTTACTGTGCTTGATCTGAATAAGATAATGAATTTTTTAAATTAGGGGAATACTATATTTGAAAGAAGAGAACTTTGATTTAAGTGTTAGTTAGAAAAAATACTGATTATATTTTATTTTTTTAGTACATAAAGGCTAAAAAAGTGATGCATGTAGTCTAAAGTGCTACAAAGGAGAAAAAACCCAGATCTTTCCATTAATAAATTTTATTGACAATGTCAGGGACATAAGCTTTCCTTGAGTACACATTTGTTCGTCAAAAAAATCTTGTTTGTGAGGCTGCACTTTGTTTGATTCAGGATCAATCAATCTTTTCTGAAGAGAAATGAAAAGTAAAGTATGTTAACATGTCAGATACTTCAACACTGTCTTAGCCAACAACTAAGAAACTGAACTTCATATCAAAAAAACAAAGTGAAAACTACTTCATGGTGAGACAAAAACCCCTTCAAATATATATCACATTAAATTCATGCAAAATGGAGACCTGATGAGAAGTTTGTAGGAATAGAAACAAACAATAATAACAATGAAACTATGAAGGTAAAGCATTACAGTACAGTAATTTTAACTATGAGCGTTTTGATCATTCTTAGTGTACTGATGTATTAGCTAAATATGTACACTACAAAAAAAACAGTCAGTATTAAAACTATATTTCAACAAAGCATTTTGGAAAGTATTCTTAGAGTTGCTGTTTCTGGGGAATAGTGCAGGGCTGTCAACAAAGGCAGGTAGCCAGCCAAAACCGCTGGCTAGTTAGCCATCCTTCACTGGCTACTTTCATCTCCTCCTACCACAGGATCTAACAAAAAATAAGTACCATCGAATAAAATTGCAAAGCATCTATTTCCCAGGTTTGAATCACATTGAATGCATATTTAAACAGTAATTAGATCTGTGAAACATTAGAACGGTGCAATGTCGTGGAAGGTCTGGGACATTACTGAGACTCTAACAAATGCCTTTGGTGCGAGTTCCAAAGCCGCCTACTATTATTTTATTATGAGCCTGCTACTTAAAAACTTTTTGACAGCCCTGATATTGCACAGTAAATAAACACTGTTGGATATACACACGCAAGCGGTCCATGACCATCATTTATGCTACCTATCCCTTAATCAAAAAACCTACAAATCGCGTTTTGCCGACTTTTTCACCTGATTTTACATTAGATTTAGATTTGGTTGTTTTATGCTGAAAAGCTTGGTATTTTGATTACAGCTACAGTTTACATTGTAGAGCAGTCCCCTTTTGCTATGGCCCAAAGACTGGACACAGTGAACTCGAATGCTGTATTAGCCAATGAAATAATTCTAAGATGCATTTATGCTGTAGTAGCTAATAACATAAGATGTAATAACCTGTGTTGTGTTCCTGTTTCTTTATGATTTGTTTACAAGGGATTTGAATCAGAGATGGTTAACATTGCCAGTATCAAATGCTTGCTTGTCAAGCGAGTCGGATGCGACGGTTACACCTCAAGATAACTATCTTATAAGCTAATACATTTCAAAAGGTTGAGTTTGATCATACATGTACATCTAAATTATTATTAAATAATAATTTTATTAGCTAATACAGCGTTTGGGTTCTCTGTGGACAAAGGAAACTGTCTGTAATAATGAGCCGTCCATAAAGTGGTGCTTAATTTCATTTGCCAGCAGTTCTTTTTATCTTAATATTCCAGATGGTATATGAAACAACTTATTGTTTGAAACTGGCTACAGTGTTGATGGGATGCTACAGTGTACAATAATACTTTGAAGGGTCTGCACTCTTATCAATCATAGTCAATGCCTCCTGTGAGCCAGCTCATAGATGAATTTGATACATGTACAAAAGGAAATCCAACAGTCAACAATCAGAAAGATGTAATACTATGTGACCTCATGATGGAACTTAACGAAAGGAAATGTATATTTTTTTTAAGTTACATGTATTTTCTTGCCCTTTTTTAAGTTATGTAAATAGGTCTTCTGTTGAAGAAAATGAAACGGTGTCAAAATGTTTTGCTGTGCATGCATAAATCATGCAAGCATGAATTTGACAAAGGTTTGGAATTGAAAACTGGACAAGTTTGTACTTGATGTACCAAATTTCTCATCGCCTGAAACTAACAAGCATCATGTGCCAATTTTTGGCTCTAGCTGACATCTTAAATGAGAAAACCCATATTTTGGAAAGCATTTTTTGGCAAAACAAGAACTGATTATGCGTATATATATTATAAAACTTAAAAGTACTCAATCACAATATTAATAAATAAACAGTACAGGTAAACCCCCAATGCTAGCAATCTTCTGTGACCCAAAGAGGGCAAGTATGTTGGTGTAAAAAAAAAATAACTCCAAGGATTGCTCTACAGAGATATAACCATCCCTTTTCAGGGCTGTCATTAAGTTTTGAAACAGCCATAGCAAATGAAGATTCACCCAACACAGGTCCCAAAAATTTAAATTTAACATCAAGTGAGCTCAGCTGTAACAGGTGTTATGGGTTACGGCCCTTAATGACAGCTCTGCCTTTTTATTTTAGACAATTCTCAGTTTATGAAAAGCCAAAACATTTTTATTTAATCATTACATTTAGATCTCATTACACTTTTATACTTCTTCGGAACATTACCTGCTATTTTTCAAGATTATTTCACAAAAAAATAAGACTTTACATAATTATCACAAATATACCTGATCAGCATCTAATATAAAATTTTATTCTAATGTTGTAGTCAATTTTTTATTGCAGTTAATTTATAATTTTCTGTTCTTTTTTGTGTATGGCAATGTATACTAAAAATAAAAGAAAAAATAATAGTTATGCTGAGATACAAAATTAACTGTGCACAACATACATGTATACATAGATTAACAGCCAAAGAATTCTCAGTGAAATACAGGGCAAATTATTATGGAACAATCCACCTGAAAACATTAATGCCATGGCTGATTAAACAAGATGTCTAAGTACAAGTACAGAATAACTTCCAGCAAACATTCAGGAAATAGTTTAAATTGTAATATAAGGTGCCAAACATGATAGAGCCATTTTTGTTCTCAGTTAAAAAAACAAACTTTGTGCACGCATAATGCATGTACGGTCTCTAGGGAAAATACTATTTTTTCACTTTCGATCGATCAAAATCGTGTCCCATTTGACATACATTCTAAAGAGAAAACGCGCTGATTTAGATTTAGCGGTCTTCCTATTTATAATTACAATAATTATTATTCTGTTGCTCAAACGGCCCTCCACCAGCTGTACCTTTCAATTTTCTTTTGTGTTGGACTGTGGGACGAGAAACTTTAACCTGAGCATAAAATGCCAGCGAAGCTTAATAAATAAAAATTCGAATGTTTGAGGATACACTGAACTAGACCTCCAGAGGGTCCCTGAACTTCAAAGATGCAAGTCGATATTTGGTACAAAAACGGTCCACACGTTTAACACAACTGTCGCTTCCGTGCACAACGGTACAAACTAATTTATATACATAACAGAGCCCAATAATTTTTCTTTCACTTCTTTACAATTTCCTGTTGTACCGATGTGCAAGAAACCAAGAGTAAGCATAGAAAGTCAAAATTACCCACCTTTTTGGCATGCCTTTCGCACCCATGCCGGCGATTGCAAAGCCAATATCTCCGGCAAATAACCACCACTGGGTTTGTCCGCCGTTTCCAAGGCGCTACATTTTCTAGAGAAAACATTCCACTCAAAACTTTCACCAAAATGTTTTTTGATCTCTTACTATGGCAAGAAAACCACAACGCTATCACTGTCAAAAAAACAGCCATTATTTTTTCATCTCAACCGGCATTTTTGCCTCAGAGCCAATGACATTGCCCGAAATAGATCACGTGTCATTTTTAGTAGAGCATGCGCAGACATTTTCGCCGGTGAAACACCTCGCGACCGTCTGATCCAGGGCATGCGCAGAAAGTAAATTTTCGAGATTCTGGGTTTAAAAGTAACACAGCGGTCTTCACTTTTTCTTTTCGCTTTCTTTCCTTCTCTCTTCTTTCGCTTTTCTCTCCTCATTTTATTTTTTCTTTTGCATGACATTTAGCAGGTTTCATTTGGGTGGAAACCTTTTTGGGCAAGCTTTCAGGATCTTAGGATTTGACCTCTCACCTCCGCAGGCGCTCCCGCTTGGTTTCCTAATAAAAATAGCAATAATCGAAAAACCCTGCGCGTTCATTTTCTCCTTATCCCCCCCCTCCAACACAAAGAGGCCTTTTCTGAGGAGAGAGGATTAGATGAAAGGAAAGGTAGGGAGTGGTGGAACAAGATTTAACATGGTTTTTCTCCGGCCTCCTTGACTGAATCTTTCTCATTCTGGTATGGTTTGAAAGATCACTCCACCCTGCACTGGTTAGCAGACACAGTTATCCTTGACCGTTAAAAAGGTAACGACGTCACAAGCGGTAGAAGGGACGTGGATCTGGACGGGCGATTGCGGGAAGTTCAGGGGCATTTGGGTTGAATTTGTTTTAATACCAGGCTGTTCATGTGCCTTTTTCAGACGCCGCTTTGCACCCGGGAACTCGGAAAAAGGAATGTTGGAGAAATGTTTACCGCAGCCAGCCGCAGTGATTTGGTGATATTTCGCCCGTATTAAGTGGAGAAAGGCTTTGTGTGGTGTGGCTTGTTTCATCAGTGCCGAGAAAGTATTTTATTGTGTGATTTCCGGATACTGTTGACAGACAGTCTTGGGGAGCAAGAGCGGTGCGGTGGTGAGAGCACTCGCCTCCCACCAAAAACAATGTGGCTCGGGTTCGAATCCTGGCGTCGACGCCTGTAGGTTGAGTTTGTTGTTAGTTCTCTCCCTTTCTCCGAGAGGTTTTTCTCCGGTTTTCCTCTCTCCTTAAAAACCACCACTTCCGAATTCCAATTCGGTCTGAAACACGCGGGCACGTTTCAGCGAGTTCTTGAGAACTCCTAAGGATCCTAAGTGCAAATTGACAATTTACAAATTGACAATTTTTACAAGAGACACAACTCAGCTGTTTGGTTGAGCTGTTACAAGAACATTCTGCATGCTTTTATTCAGTGTTACAGTGCAGCACTTTACAGATGGATAATTCTAAGTTCTCTGGCTAAATTCACTTCTGAAAGTCTAGAAATCATGCTTTTATTTAAAAGTAAAGTTCTTAACATTTGGTATAGACTACGAGTAGTCCCCATTTTTCCTCATTTTTCTCTCTCCCCACAGCTTCTCGCCTTTTTCACGCGCGCTCGCGTTTCGCTCGCTCTACTATCCCTGATGAAAAATGGGGACTACTCGTAGTCTACATTTGGTATAGACTTCCAGTTTCAGTTTTCAAACGTTAACCTTGTAATGCACTACTTTGACAAGTAACAAGTCTCTTAAGACCATTGCGGTACTTACTGCTAAAAGTGAGGCAGATAATCGGGTTGACAGCACAGTTTCCTCTACACATTAAGTAGGTGACAAAATAATATACTTTAAAACTACAGTACGACCAAATGGAACTGTCCGAGAAAAAATACATTATTAAAAGGTTACTGAAAAAGGGTACCCAGCAAATGAAAAACACTACAACGATAGCAATAGCCATCTTGAGCACTTTTCTGTTTCTTCTTGTCCTCTGTTTCTCGGCGTTGGCTGACTGTTCACCTGGATGGGCTTGTTTTTTAAGTTTGATCATGATGATGGAGTAAAGTATCACCAACAGGACGAAGGGGGTGTAGAAAAGCACGATTGCGCCTACCACGAGGTAATTTGCATGTGTGTCTTCTTCGAAGGTTTCTGCCTTCTGACTTTCGCACATGATTCCCTCAGGATAATGAACATGTTTAACAGCA